GTCTTTTGGTAAACGCTCCAGTCTATTATATTGTAATTTCCTTTTAAAAAACAACAAACCAAAATGAGCAATATAAAAATCACTAAAGGGCGATTATAAAAACAATTGCCTAGTAAAAACATGAACCCCGTTCCTTACTGATAGGCAAATTAATGAAACTGGTTTCGCAGAATAACATGAAGTTCCCAAACATGTAAAACCTTATTTCTTAGCTAGATCTACAGGGAACATGGAATTGGTTTGAAAGAAAAATAATGGCCCTCAATACCCTACAATACACGCATCTGTTGCGTTGTTAGCGATTTATTCCACATATCGCTGCATTCGCTGCACTTTAGGATGATTTTTTTTTTTCAGGAAAAGTGAGTGATATATTTAATCTTGGAGTTTGTAGTCAAGCACCCAGTCCAGAGCTTTTCCACCTTTGAAATGTTTTGATCCGCGAACCAAAACAAGCAATTACCCAAGCATACACGGTGAAAAACATTCAGATATGAAAGAAAGTTATGAACCCTTTCATTACTCACTGTGGAGAACCGTTTGCAGCAAAAGAGAAACGTCTCGTTAATTTCTGTTTGCCTGGGCTAAATAGCGATAGAGCGGGCCGATCAGTTATTTCACCCTGACCTCGGTAGCCAGCAAGGATATCATGGTTCAGTTTGGGAAAGTGAACTATGTGAAGACAGAAGTCTAATCATATTTTTTACTGATAGGGATCACCTTTTTGCAGAAAGTGGAGTATAATTTTGATATCCTTTAGCGAGGATTTCAGCCGTGTGAAGATTTACTGAAATCATTCCCATTCACTGAGAAAAGGTTGGAAGAAGAGGGACATAAAATCCTTTTTTCTCCCCGGAAATTTTCCAGTAGAATGACGCAAAGAAGTAATGTTGCATTTTCGACTTTCTATCCTGTATATAAATTTTTTTAAATTCACCATCACCTACAATAATATTCCCTGCTGTAATACCCTTCCAAGCTAGTCTTACACAGGTAAATACTGTGACGAAAATTCCAAATCATTGGAAGCTAAGGAAGCCAATTTAATAGTTACAGTCGTAAGAGTGACCGCAAATTCATGAATATATCATTGTGAAGCTCTTTAATCACGTTGTCAGAAAAATCTTTGAAGAGTTTACAGTGGGCGCGATCCATTCAACCAAACTTTCCGGAAATTTCGGTCCAAAACTCAATGGATCGGTTCGGTCCAACCGGAAAAGTTTCGAAAAAACGGGTCCACCTTTTGAGGTGGTCCTCTTTTCCCGGTCGGACCGGTTGGAATTTTGGTTGAATGGATCGCGCCCAGTGAAACCGGTTGTTCGTTTTCGCGCCACTCTGCAATATTGTCACGCAATGTTGGTATTTTGATTGGCAGTTTGCTCCGAGCAAGTTGCGATTCAAATTTCAATTTGCTAGCGTGAATGTTTGCAAACCTTGAATAATTTGCCTGCGTGCAGACGTCTCCTATTTCCTTTGTTGCACGCGGAAAAGGGACGTCTGCGTAACGCCGTCGCCAATCGTGTTCCAGCGTCCCTCTGGCAGGGTATTCTATTTCGCATAAATTGTGAAATAATATCCGTTTAGAAATAAGAGTTGACAGGCCAAACAAAACATCATAAGCTCGTGATACGGGCGAAACGTGACCTTGAGAGTCTGCTTGAACAGAGGTTTTTCTTCTTTTCTCTCTCGCGCGACGATTACTAGCACTACACAGTGCATGTAGCATTCTAACCTTTGACTGAGTAAATCTCATTTTTGCCGCGTAAGTCTTCCATTTAGAGGTCATGAAGCAGGTTTGTTACATGCATACTGAGTAATCATTTCCTGTGGTTTATGCTTCTGTGGGTGTTCCCGATAGGATTTGATTTCAGATGCAGTTGTAAAGTGTTTAAATTTTTTGGACCTCTGTTTGTTGCGGCTAAATAAAGATTTTAGTTTCTTTGGCAGGCTTTCTCCGAAATGCCTGCCTGGTGCGAAGTCCACGCCGCTTTTGTAGTTTTCTCAGACACTGTTTACAAATATGATGTGATGTGTCATGCACAGTAAATTGTAAAGAAATAATTTCCTCGTACACGTTAAATTTTCCGCGTCCCCGCACAAGATTTCGATCGCTCTGCTTTTCGATCGACGAAAAACAAAGCACACAATCGCACATGTTTTGATTTGTTTTGGTTAGAAACCCCCACTTACATAAATCATTTAAATCACCGCATACATTATCAGACCACATTCGATAACAACCAATCAGCGTTAAGTCAAACAATGCACACTGTGTGTCAGCCTATCACAGCGTGTTCCCAAGATCTTGGGAACCCAGCAGGACGCTGGAACTCGATTAGCGACGGCGTTACGCAGACGTCCCTTTTTCGCGTGCAACAAAGGAAATAGGAGACGTCTGCACGCAGGCAATGAATAATGGCAAGTTCTGTGAAGTTAATTGAAAACTGTTCGTGTTGTCTCAAACATGCCTTCATCGACCTAAAACAAAATTCACGAGAATTAAACTCAGGACTATAAGGGGGTTGAAAAATTAATTCAACACCGCGATTTCTTAGCATTAAGCGCAACTGGTTTTGCGTGAAAACTCCGTGGTGAAAGCCGCAGTTGTCCATAACAATAACATCTCCATTCACCAAGACTGGATTCCCCACAGGGTCTACAGCTTGTAAACTTTGTTCGAAGAAATGAATCATTTCAAATCCATTAGAAGGGTCTTCCAAAATATTAAAGTTATCAATACCAAAACGGCTATGGAGAAGGTTTACAGTGAAGTTACAGTCCGAGGCGTACCGTTGGATTTCAACTGCTGGAAGGCCTTTCTTGCTATGTCCGTAACTCCGATTTTGCGTTGTTTTCACGACCGAGGTTTCGTCAAAAAAATGAGCCGTAGAGGGATCAACTCCCGACATATACATAATATAGTACAAAGTTTTCAGAAGATTTTCATGAGTTAAAGATTCTGCAGTATGGACGGAAAGTTTTTTCCATGTGAATTGCAAGTCCTGTCTTACAATATCGGATATTGTTGAGCGAGCGGGGAGATTAGCTGGAGTACATATGCGTTGGCAAGTAAGCCCTGCTGTATTTCAAAAGTTCGTGTGCTTGGTTTAAGAACCTTGAATACTCCACAAATTCCACCACATTTGGAGTAGCGACTGTGCGTTCTTTCCATCCTGGTTTTCCCGGAGCCGCCGTCCCATTTTGCAGGAACTTTGAAAGGATATTGGAGACGGTTTGATGTGAAAGATGAAGCCGTGAGCATATTTCTTTATTTCGATAGCCCGACAACCAGAGGGAAATTACTTTTTCCCTCTTTGAAACAGAGGTAATGTTGCTTGCCATCGCAGTCAACTCACAATATTCCAATATGAAAAACCGTTTGCTAAGGTAGCAAATTGAAATTTGAATCGCAACTTCCTCGGAGCAAACTGCCAATCAAAATACCAACATTGCGTGACAATATTGCAAAGTTTCGCGCAAACGAACAACCGGTATCATTGTAAAAATGTCCATTATTAACGCACCTCAGCAAAATAGCAAAAAACGGTATATAAGTAAGAGTTCGAAAAACATGCTTACGGCCACTGCGAGCAATAGATTTAGCACAAGTAAGGGTATATTGTAGACCCTAATCGAGACAATGATTGCTAAATCAGACGATAAGTTTGTAACCCACAATATGAAATGGGGCGATACACATCTGATTAGTAGACGATTCCCTCGCCGCATATCTGCATCATATTATTTTATATGTAAATACAGGAAAAATACTCTAGGGTGTTTGTATCAGTATGTCACGAATGTGTGTGATGTATATATGTCTAGTTTTTAATTGTTTTGTATGTTTTGGTATTTACTGTGCAAAAAGTGGAATACATGAAATTATTTAAGAATCAAATTCAAGTTTATCAAAATACAAAAAAGAGACCTGTTTTGGAAATCTTAAGTGGATTACTTTCTCAGTTGAGTGATGGTGGGATCATTGCGAGCAAATATAATAAATAGGAGGATGCTTTAATACTTACAGTTGCTGCAAAGTACTCAGATTTTTGAAAATGTCTTTTGGTAAACGCTGCAGTCTATTACGGCCTAAATTCCTTTTAAAAAACAACAAACAAAAATGAGCAATATAAAAATCACTGAAGGGCGATTAAAAACAATTGCCTGGTAAAAACATGAACCCCTTTCCTTACTGATAGGCAAATTAATGAAAGTGGATTCACAGAATAACATGAAGTTCCCAAACATGTAATTAAAAGAGCGCATGAAATAAACTGTGAAAAAAAAGCTTATTACTAAGTGTGTATCAGATATTTAAGCAATAAAAAGCGTTTTGCGTGTTTGCATAGCCTGATATAAACACGAGAGGGGTTGGGAGAATTCGAGACAGTTATGCAAACCCGAGACGAAGTCGAGGGTTTGCATAGCTGCTGAGCATTCTCCAAAGCCTCGAGCCTTTATATCAGGCTATGCAAACACAGAAAAAAAGTTTTCTATTGCTTTTATAAAATAACTTTCCCGTGGAAAAACGCAAAACTCTCTGTATGGCACTGATTAAATAAAAAATTCTTACCAGGCGCAAAGTCTTGTCCACGAAGTCTTGCACGCGTAATCAGTTCTTGTTTTGCAAAAAAATGCTTTCCAAAACACGGATTTTTCTAGCTTAAAATGTCAGCTTAAGCGAACAAAAATTGACACACCTTCTTTGTAAAAATTTTCCAAGTTTCAGCCGACGAAGGAATGGGTAAAAAACTTTTTCAAATTCGTGCCTGCGTGATTAGCGCGCGAAAAGCAAAACATCTTGACGCGACAACCATGTTTACATACTCTCATGCAAACACTCCTCTCGGCCAATCAGAACGCGCGTACTATCTTAGTTATTTTATAATTCTCGATAACTGATAATCTATATTTTCCTTCTCCTTTTAAACAAGTGAGGGTGAAGTGCTCTAGCCCTGAAACATGAATCTATCACTCGCCGGAGTAAAGTAATGATCTACTTACAGGATTTGTAGGTTGGATAGTGCTCCAAACGTCCCCACAGGTAGGTCTTCAATTTTATTCTCTTCAAGTTCTCTGTTAAATGAAAACAGCGTTAATGCATAGTTATGTGGATGAGTATGAACATGTAACTGGGAAACGTTTTGGGGAGAGATTAAGATCGACTCTCTTCACAAATACCTCATTAATTGCCTATTGCTGGTTTTCAGTGTCACGCCATTCAAAATAGATCAAAATAAAAATCAAAACAATTCGGCAGATAAAGTCCAGAATCTGGGAAATGAAAGGAGGTAAAATACAAAGACCCTCGCCAAGATTTGGGTTGAAGGAATAATCCGTATACGAGATATCCGAGGAAATGTTTTACCCAAATTTATAGAGCTTTGTATGGAGACGCCATGCTGGAGTTCATCCGGATGAACTCCAACATGGCGGACGGAAACCGACAGAAACATCTGTTAGCGAGTTTTGGTACAAAAGCTTGAATTTACTCCTAGAGGAACTCATAAACATTAATGTAATACTTTTTCTAATACTTGAACTGTTAAGATAGCAAAATTTCTCGAAAAAAGTCACTTTTTTAACCTAAATGACAGCTCTCTCGGCCGTCATGTAAATGCAGCGCCACGCAAAAGCTTAGAAATTCAAGCGTACTCTATTACAAAACCAAGAACCCTTTTTGAGCTAAACTAATACACCATGAAAGTAAAATTTCAGTAGGGTCGATAGTTTTGTAGTTTGAACCTTAGTGACGTCATCTGAAAACCAACAATTAGCCATGTTCTAAACCCCAAGGGGGGGAGGAACTTCCATATGAAAGGGGCGGGAATGCTTGTCGTTTCGCTTAGGGGTGTAAATTTCAGATGGGCCTGGGCCTCTATACTTGAGCCTCATACGACCCCACAAGCTGTTTATCGGCTGAGGGAAGATCATTCTAAACAATGAAAAAATAACTTTAAGTTTAGATTTTTAGAGGTGTGAAGAATAACAGTTCTGGCAACATGATTGAAGTATGTTATTCTTATGACTTTTTCCGCATTAAGTTACCTCTTGCGCTATAAACTACCTATTTTCATATCAACTCACAATACACGCAGTTCTTTTAGATCTGAAAATACGTCTGAGGGAATCTGGTCGATTTCATTCCCTGTTAGATGCCTAGTGGGAAGAAAAGAAGCCAAATATTCAGTGAGTCTCTTTTTCAGGTTTGTAGTAACAGAGAAAGAGATTTATTTACTTATGTGTTAGCTTGTGTTCAGAAAACCTTATTTCTTAGCTAGAACTACAGGGAACATGGAATTGGTCTGAAAGAAAAATAATGGCCCACAACACCTTACAATACACGCATCTGTTGCGTTGTTAGCGATTTATTCCACATATCGCTGCATTCGCTGCACTTTAGGATGATTTTTTCAGGAAAAGTGAGTGGTAATTTAATCTTGGAGTTCGTAGTCAAGTACCCAATCCAGAGTTTTTCCACCTTTGAAATGTTTTGATCTGCGAATCAAAACGAGCAAATACCCAATCACGGAGCAAATTTGGATTCACATGACGCGAGGCTCGTTTTCATGACAGTCAATAGAAAAACATAGAGTAGTCAAGCATACGCGATGAAAAAAATTCAGATATAAAAGAAGGCAATGAACCCTTTCATTACTCAGTGGAATGAACCGTTTGCAGGAAAACAGAAACGTGTCGGTAATTTCTGTTTGCATGGGCTCAATAGCGGTAAAGCGGGGCCGATCTGTTATTCCACCCTGACCTCGGTAACCAGGAAGGATATCATGGTTCAGTTTGGGAAAGCGAACTTTGTGAAGACAAAAGTAATGTTGAGTAATAATGTTGATATCTTTTAGCGAGGATTTCACTCGCGGCGAAGCCAAGTGAAAATTTACTTTGGGCCCAGCATAACACAATTTAGGTAGTTATTCCGATCCAGACATGTCGGAGAAATCTAAAGAAACAAAACCTTTATAGAATGGTTATTAATCAGCAATAAAAAGCTATAACGCCGCTTTAAAAGAGGTCAAAGAAAATGCTAAAACTCTGCATCAGGAAATCAATAGAACTCGTGAACTCTCAATGTGAGACAACTGAAAAAAAAAAAAAGAATTGAACAAATAGCGTTTTAACATGACAAATAAATTTCGCGCAGCGGGTCCACCGCACTACGTACTACCGACTCCTTCAGGTTTTTCCACTCATTCCGCGTTAAGTGGGTAAAATGTGCCAAGGATTTTCGAAAAATCGAAGGTCAACAAATCAGACAAGTATAGTTTCACCGAAAGATGTATTATTGAAGGGTGAGACACCAAAATTTGGTCAACATATCTTTTATCTATAAAAAGTTATAGCCTGTTATTTAATAGCATGTAGTGTGATATTTTGTATGGCTTGAAACAGCACAGTGTTGCATTATATCTATGTTTTTTTCAATTTAGNAGCGGGTCCACCGCACTACGTACTACCGACTCCTTCAGGTTTTTCCACTCATTCCGCGTTAAGTGGGTAAAATGTGCCAAGGATTTTCGAAAAATCGAAGGTCAACAAATCAGACAAGTATAGTTTCACCGAAAGATGTATTATTGAAGGGTGAGACACCAAAATTTGGTCAACATATCTTTTATCTATAAAAAGTTATAGCCTGTTATTTAATAGCATGTAGTGTGATATTTTGTATGGCTTGAAACAGCACAGTGTTGCATTATATCTATGTTTTTTTCAATTTAGCGTACCCTACAATGTTTAAAATAAAATCTGTGGCAGGCTAAGGTCTGAGTTTTACATTTTAGTCAAGTCAGTGACTCAAGGAATGAAAAAGTCACGTTGTTCTGTCATGGTGTACTTTGGTCTGACGTAACAAAATATTGAAAATTTAAAATTGCTGTGTTTTTTTAATGTTTTTTCTTTAAAAAAGCCGTCAGACTAAACTTTATTTTGCTAAATGTGAAGGAAAGAAAGTGTTGTTTACCTTTATTATAGTTTGGAAACATGTGATATAGTAGAAAACGAGTGATTATCAAATAAATTTCGGTAACGGAAGTTACAGAAGGAAGGTAATATTTCATTTCTCTTTCAACTACTTACTTTTGGGATTACAGACCATCTTAAATAACAATGCATATGACTTATTCTGTTGAATTGAATTTATGCTAAACAATATTGGATGAAATTTTGGAATTTTTGGGTGGAACGAGGCTAAAAACAACAAAATGAGCAAAATAAATTGAATTCAAAGGAAAAAAATTAATAGATACATGGTAATCTGTTAGAATTCGTACAAGAATTGTAATACATGAATATTGTAAAGTCCATTCACAGGGTTGGTCCAGGGTCCAGGGTCCATTCACCTCCGTTACTTTAAAAAAAAATTAAAATGATCAAGAAGCCTGTCCCATTTTCATCTTATATTCCTAAACTGCCTAGAAATACTTCAAAGGAAAATAAACTTCTTTAAACTATGCAAAAAAACTCCGCGAACCATAAACTCAGCTAAAATTCCCTTATCACACTTGACAGAGAGGTATCTCACCAATGGAACACGTATGAGGGTGTACTTATGACGAAATCTTCACCAGATGTCATCAAGGCTTGAGTTGTTTGATAGGGCAATCGTGTGACAGCGTTTCCTGAAACTTAGCCGACGTTTATCCCAAGTTTTAGAGACCGGACAAATTCTTGGTAACGGAAGTTACAGTAACGGAAGTTAAAATTCTACATTTTCTGTTACATCTTTAAGTGAAATTAATAACTCGGACCCACTTTTCATTTTTTCCTACTGTAATCTTAGTAACGGAAGTTACAAACTTAACTGTTCACCCTAAATCCTGCTATTGTGAGATGCAATTTCTTTCCACAGGCTTTTGCTCTTCATTTTATGTATTGCGTATCAAAAAGAGCAAACTTTAGTAATATTTACACGATGTAAATTATTCGCAATATTTATTTCTAGGCCATTTGTGATCTGCCCTCAGATAGGTAACAGAAGTTTCATAAAAATAGCGGACACCAGTTCACTGTAGTTAAAAGCAACAAAACTGACCTGCAGTGAGAAATGATCATGTAGGACTTTAGTTTAGGTCCCTTCCGAGACATTGGATTGATTAGTTTCCATAGTATAAAGCGACAAGCACAAATATACCGTAACCTTCTATACCCACCCTCCCGGCGGACATAGTAAAATGGCATTTTTGGGACACTTTTGGCCTTGATTCCCTCAAAGTTACTGTCTACAGGAGCAACCAAAGGGGTACTGTCGCTATTTGTTTGGGCATATTTTAAGTATTTTTCAGCGAAATGATTATGGGAAAACAATTTGAGTCCTCAAAACTTGCCATGGACACCAAAAAATGGTAATTTACCCACTTAACGTGGAATGAGTGTTTCACGTCACTGGAGTGATTGCAGAAATGACATGTAAAAGGTCAGTAAAGACAATAACCAGAAACCATGCAGTACCGATCTCCAATGTAGGCAGCTGCAGTAACACCGGGAAAAGCAACACCGGCAACACCGGGAAAAGCTTGATATCGTCCAACATATTCATCTTCGAGTTACTCAGCCTCCCAGAGTCCTTCCAGAAGGCGGTCATTTTGCCACAGACGATTGCTTCACAAAAAAATCTCTCGGCCCGTCTACCAGAAGAGCGGCCTATTTCCACGTTTCACATGAAACAACTAGAATACTTCGAGAATGTCCAGAGGATTATTTTAAGACCTCAAAAAGTTTTTCACGAGAGATATTCCAAAGAGAAGATGATTCATCGATCAAAATAACGAGCAAAATCGTTCGTCATCTTATTCGCAAGTCTTCTACCATTTCCCTTTCGTTGTTGTATTTATAAAGAGCGAGCAAAAACTGCTGGAAAAACGCGAAACACAACAGATTTCCACGCCAATTCGAATCCCCTCGAGGACATTTCTAACCCGCCATGCTGTGACGTCAAGGTATTGTTTCATACATTTCCAAAAGTGGAAAAGGTCTGACTGGTACCAATTTCACAACCATAAGAAATTGACTGTAAATTTTGAGTTATAAAATCAGCAGGACAAAATGGGTTGCGTAAGGGTCGATGGTTGATTACAATAATGATAAAATTGTTTCTAACGCTGCTCATCAATTTTTTGCCCGTTGACGTGAGACACATTCTCACTACTTACAGTATTTGCAAGGAGTCCATGTTTTTAAAACTGTCAGCAGGAAGTTCGCGAATCTCGTGATACTGGAGTTTTCTATGCAAAAAAAGACAATTTATGAATTAAAAAATATATAATTATAATTATTTTTTCTTCATCAGAACTTTCAAAGGAGAGGAACATAATGACATAAAAAAGTAAGAAAATGGACTGCGTTAACAATAAATCTGGCAAATAACAAAATAATCTTTCCGACAAATCTTGCGCCAGCCAGCTGCAAAAATATTGTTTCTTTTGTGAGACCTGACGAAACTGTCTAATTCGGGCCATTTCCGAGTTCCAAAAACTCTCGCCTTCCAAACGAGGCTAAGTGCAAAACCTTGTTGTGAAAATGAGTTTTATTTACATGAGAATAAAAAATCATTAAAATCATTCGCTTTAAAACAGAGTCTCGAGGCAACTCGGAAATGGGCTATTTGTATTTTATGAAGGAGCCTCACGCTCAAGTCATTACTTCTCTGTTCGCCCTAAACAAGTGTTAGGAGGCTGAGTTACGCCACAAGCTTAGCAAGCGGTAAAATAACACAGGAAATACAACCTCTAAGCCTTGAACCTCCACTTCACTTTTATGGGAGTCCACCTCACACGGTCTTCACGAAGGGGACACGCCATCCAGAATGGTAAGAGACTATTTTCAGTGTTGTACTGGAAAGACGAGAAGCTTACAAGAATGTCTGCCATGAAATACCTTGATTTTCAGTACTAAGACAACAGGATCTACTTACAAGCGTGTGGCAATTGTGGGTGCGCATCTGAAAATATCGTTGTATGAAGATGAAGGCGAACAGGAATAGTCGTTAACCCCCCTCGTCTCCTCTTCGCCTGTATCTTTACCATATCCATCACACTTGCTATCGCAATCTGAAGAGGGAAACAGAATTAAGACATTGCCCGGTTTGTCATTAGACAAGAGAAGGAATCATATCAAAAGTCCAGAGGCCGAACTTCCCTTAAATAGGATCCTCAAAAGACTTTTTATAGTTATCGGCCAGAACACCAAAACACGACACTCAGTTAAGGGATCGCTAATACTTTGCCAAAAAAGACTGACTTTCAAAAATTAAAATATTTTTGTAGTTCAAAGATCAGATGTCTCTGAAAAGATTACAAAGATGTGGGTGGTGATTATCACGGTACGTAACCTGCTTAGCTGCAGCTAGAAGTTTACCGGCTGTAGAGCGTAAAGGAACTTTAGGTAATCTTACGCACAGTTTTTCCGGTCGAAACCGACTGGAATACTAACCGTAGCCGTTAAGTCTTTATTATGGACCTTTAGCATCAGGTCACATGACCATGGCCTTGCGGTCACGTTTGCAGTTCACGTTTGAACCACAGGAAGGGCTTCCAGTGGCAAGTAATTTACAGCAAGGTTTTATGCCACTAAAAATTGTACAGCCTCGCGTTTAATGGCATGAACTAGATTTTTATATCCGTTTTCGATGTGTTTCTTGGATTTTTTATCTCGAATCAATAAATTATTGCTGTTTTTTGGGCGATTAAAGTGATGCACTTCGACCAGATGAAAACAACATGCGACCCTAAACAATGAACGCGTAGTTCAAATCGATTATATATTCCTTTCTGCCATACTAACAAAAGAAAGTATTCTGTCCCAATCCAGAGTTAAATTTTTTTCTATCTTGTTACTGAATTCATAACTTAACTCACTCTCTGTTTAGTTCCTATTTTTAACGTATCACTCCGCGAATGTCATTTTATTTTTACTTTTTTCTCTGAAACTGGGGAGCCCAGGCTTCATAAGCCTTCTAGTTTCTTCTGGGCTCCCTTGCAACCTTACAATTCCTATATGTATTCTTGTATTGTATTATATTTTGGCTAAATAAAAATGAACTGAACTAAACTGAACTGAACGCCTTACTAAAATTTGAAATCTCGGCAACGTGAAACTGCAAACGCGTAACTGCAAACTGCGGTTTGCGGTTTGCGGTTTCCCATAAAAAACCTGATGCTAAAGGTCTCTACTCGTTGTAGAACTATGCGACGAGAGAATTCTTATCGCTGCGTAGGGGTGGTTACACTTACTTGTGGGAAAAGATACCATTATTTCTTTAGAATCAGTTCCAGCTTCATTCCTTGCTGTGCATCTGTATTCACCTTCGTTTGCAATAGGTACTTTAGCAAATCCAGTTCCCTTAACCAGTTGTGTGCCATTCTGGTTTATTGTTATCTGAATTGGAGGAGTTCTTCTCGCTGAACACTCCAACCAGAGATCCTTCATTGCTCTAACGGCAGGTCCAGGGAAATGTATTTCGGGCTTTTCTGTAACAACAACAACAACAACGACAGCAACTAATTTCGTTGATTGTCCGCTGTATAATTCGAATTTTATCCCCGACGAAGAGTGCGTGCATTTCAGCAGTTCTTCATTAGCCAGTTTTTCAACTTCTGATTCTTAGGCTGGTTTTCACTAGTCACAAGCCTTTAAAAGGTTTCGGAGTCGGAATCGTAAGTGGAGTCGTAAGAGCGCATAAGACCTTGTGAAAATCAAAACTCGGAGTCGTAAGCGGAGTCCTCAGCGCGACAGAGTCGGAGTCGGAAGGATCGGAACGTTTCCATTTTCTTCAACTCCGCTTATGACTCTATCGATTACGATCAACTGAAAACCAGATTGTCGGATTCGGAATCAGAACGCTGTTTTCACCTGATCGTAAAGTCCTACGCTTGGTACCTACGATTGGTACCGAGAGCGTACTAGTCGGACGTGTTCTCGATCACTCCGGCTTCTAACTAAATTTCCTCAAAATCTTTTAATCTTTTAACCTTTTCTCAACTATGAGTGGAACTGAGAAACTAAGGAAAGAAAAGCAAGCATTACGGAAGTCTGTTATCTAGTCCTCATCCATATTACGACTTTTATTTCATTTATTTGTAAACTGTAAACTTTTCTTAGTTAATAGCCTTAGTCTTTATTTCTTATATTTTTCACGCATTGTCCCGCCTCGTACTTCCTTGCTAGCTGCGGGCAATACTTTTGTAATTTTATTTGCTTATTAATAAAGTTTTGTTAATGATATATGAAATAAATCATATTTGAAGTGCGGATATGAAATGAAAATGAAGAAATGATCGTCGCAGTGAACGTAATTTATGCAATTGCGTAAAGAAGCCTGAAAAAAAAATTCAGGATGTCAACGGGGTTTGAACCCGTGACCTCGCGATTACCGGTGCGATTCTCTACCAAATGAGCTATGAAGCCACTGACGTTGGGAGCAGGTCAATTGTGGGTTCATATGTTCCCGTGAAAGAAATGAGTGTTAATAATATATGAAATAAATCATATATGAACTGCGGATATCAAATGAAAATGAAGAAATGATCGTCGCAGTGAACGCAATTTATGCAATTGCGTAAAGAAGCCTGCTCCCAACGTCAGTGTCTTCATAGGTCAGTTGGTAGAGCATCGCACGGGTAATCGCGAGGTCACGGGTTCAAACCCCGTTGAAGTCCTGAAGTTTTTTCAGGCTTCTTTACGCAATTGCATAAATAGAAAAGTTTTGTTGTTGTTGTTGTTGTTGTTGTACGCTTCTGATTTAATACTACTCCGACTCCAATTTCGACTCCGACAAAGTCCCTAGTGAAAACCAGCCTTTTAGTCAAAACTGTGACGAGAAAAGAATCATTATTTTTAACAGTCTTGCCTTTGGGTATTACCGGCTGTTGAGCGTGATACCAGCAGCCTTGTTTATTCGACAATAGAGATGTTTTGGTGAGACATCGCTCCCGAATTCGTTCAGGCAGTGAAAATGAATTTTTTTATCCTGCATACCTTAAACAAGGGAGTTCTAAGTGATTTAAATGAAGTTTGCCTAGATTTCTTTCACTTGACTACTTTTTGCGGGTTCTTGTATATATTGCTTACTATACCTTTGTAGGTAAAATAAATATCGGGATTCAGTCCTGACCACGCTAGAGTAAGACCAAAATCACTCTTACCTATTACAGTACTAGCGAAAAACAATGCTTCAACATTACAAAGAACAGTATAAGGGAGCAGTCTTAACCGTATGAATAGGTAACGGCCGCTGGACTGCAGGGAAAATGCTCGTTTTGTTCCACGGTAAATTCCAAGCGAAGCACTTGACTCATTGTGACCGTCCCATACTTGTAACTCAGTTTCTTTCTCAGTTGGCCAGGAGTAATAAATGTAATTGAACTCCAACTCCAATGTTGTGAATTTTAGGAATATGTTATGGCCAGCTGGTACTGTAATAAGCCAGGTACAGCTGGAGATGGTGCCAGATTTAGCAGTTTTGATCACACCTTTCACGTCTTCTATTTTCTGTTCACACGGTGCCAAATTTGTGTCTGTTATGAACGAAAGAAATTACAGCGGTAGTTGATGTTCAATACAATTGCAGTTTTCTGCAGAGAATGCAATTGAATACTCTTTCAGCACATTAAAGGGTTGAAATGCTAACACTTTAGTTGAAAAAGTTACGCTTTAAAGTTACACTAGTCAAAACATAATCTTTGTTTTTTCCCGAACTCTTTTTGTCATCATTAAACTACATTACAGCTTAACTTGGAAGCATTGAATCTACGAGTTAAAAAAAAAGGAAGAAGAAAAAGGAAGGAAAAAAGAAAGAAAAAGAAAGAAAGAAAAAAAATCCCGCTCAATCGATTGTAATAGAACTTATCATGGTAACGACTGGGAATAATACAATTCAATCTAGGCAATTTACCTTCTCCAGAACTGGCCACAAAACCAAGCAGCATTACAAAAATTCCACACACTGCGAGTGGCATCTGCGCCATTGCATCTCAACAACTACCAAAGCAAATTCACAAGGTGGCACTGAAATTTTGAAGATAAAGGTTTTCACATTCTCTTATAACTCCTCTAGTATGAGATAAAGCTGTGTCATAAATACAAATCCGACGCATTGGAGGAAGAAAAGTGATTCATGATACCTAGAAAGGTATAAAATTTAGCCCACGTAGCAGCCTTTTTTGGCGCTTTTTTTTTCGTTCGTGGTTTTTAAAGTAGGAGATACGACCTTGCGAAAGCTTAAAAGAGGTCAAACAAGAAAACGAGGCCATTCCGCAGAAGGGTTTGCTTCTAGCGAATTACCCTGCGAGCAAAAAAAAACAACAACAATCCACTTGTTACGCAGGCTGGCCAAGTTTTTATGAAAATTAAATAACAGCTTAAAGTTAAGTTGAAGGAAAAGAAAAAGTTAAAACATGCCTGTTCAAATGGCATGGAAATGGTAATAATTCTCTCGAAGAATTTATGTCATTAGAATGATATCAGATGAATTTAAAAGGAAACATGTCTGGAAGATTTTTCGTTCTCTTCTAAAAATTTTCTAGAGCTTTTAAAAAGTTCTGTTTCAGAATAGACTGCCGATGGGACGCGGAGGAGAGCTAGACCGTAAGGCCGGCGGTCGTATTGACAATAAGGAGTTTGAATTGACTGGATTGTGCTTTACCGCTGTCGGCTAAAGGAATAGAAATAGAGGATACGATGGAAAAATTAAGCTTCCATTCGATAATAACAACAGTATACTGTCGAAATGAGTTTAATTAGTCGAGCTTGCTTCAGCAGAGCGAGAATCTAAAGCTGCTGGCGTTTCTATTTCTTATTTTTTCTTTGTCGGTGGGCACCAATTAGGAGGCCATGCTCCCAGGCGTTCCGTTCCAGGCGTGGAAACTGGGGATAAGAATCGTGACGACTTTCACTGTATACAAACTTGTTTACAAATGAGACTCGTGATGAGCATGCGGCTTACTTTCGGCGATGACTGAAATGACACATGTCAGTTGATCACGTTTTTAGCTGTTTGGCAATGATGTAATTTTCCCCGATTCGAGGCCCTTGATTTTCGTGTTATTATACACGTGTATTAAAATCTAAAAAAAATTATCGCGGGGAAATCCTGTTTTGTGGTGTATTGAGGTGCTAAAAAGGCCTATTATAATAATTCTTTTAATAATTATGCCGGTGATCAACGTAAGACCTGGAAGATCATCAATGAATTGACTTCCCGCAAATCTAATAAAACAATAATAAATGAAATACATAATCAGGGACTAAAATCGAGCAATCAAGCAGAAGTTGCTGAATTGTTGAACACTTTCTTCATTGAGATTGGACCAAGGCTTAGTCGAAATGTTTCGAATGTTGATACCACCTACAAAGAGTTTCTTTGTGGAACTTCTAAGGAGTTTGTCTTCAAGGAAATAACATCTGCTCATATTTATTCTCTCCTTTCAAAACTTTGTAAATCAAAGGCCACTGGATTAGATAGTATATCAGCTAAATTATTAAGGGAGTGCCCTGATCTAATTGCCGAGT